CAAACCAGCAGCAGCGGCGAGACCGGTTCAAGTCAAGTAAAGTCAAGTCAAGATCCTTGACGATGTGGCGCATACCCACGCTGGGGGATTGGCCAAGAACCGGATAGTTTTCATAAATTTCTTGTTTAATAACAGATTAAAATTAATCCATTTACGAGTCATAAAAAAAGATGCAACAAAAAACAAATTTGATGGTTCAATTGCAAATAATCTGTACTGTGATGCAATAAAGCGTCGTATTTGATTCAATATGAATTTGCAAATTTCAAAATCTACCGAACAATGATTTCAACACTTAAACCTCTTAGAACTTTTGACGAACTCCTGCAATGCGTCAACCATCTTCCCGTCACTGTGGCCTAGACACGAAGCCCCGAAAGAAAGCACATTTTCAGCTTTTAAATCTATTCCGAGAAGGTGGCAAAGGGCTCCTAAAGTGTTTTTACGTAAGACAGAGAATCTATTACAATAAATGAGATAATGTTCAGTTGACTCATTTACTCCACAAACAGGAAAATGAGGGGAGGCTGCCAGACCAGCTCTGTGTATATACAAGTTCAGCTGTGGAATTTGACAGCGCAGTTTAGTGATTGCGACTTCCGTTCCTCGCGTTTGACATATTTTACTATTCCAATGGTATAACAAGTGCTTGAATTCTGGTGTGGCTGTTAGTGAAGGTGTGGAAAATTCTTCTAACAGTAGTTTCCTTCTTAATATAGCGCCTATCAAGAATTTCGATGCCGGTAATACATCAATAACAGGCCCATTTAAAGATGACTTGGCCAACGCATCTGCCGTTTCATTCATATAAATTCCATTATGTCCAGGAACCCAGATCAGTTTGATCAGATTGAGATGCGAGAAAACTAATGCTGTGAAAGCATTCTGAGCATGCGAGTTCTCATCTGCAGTAAGAGAGGCACATACTGATAGTGAATGTGTTAAAATTATTGTGGTTCTTACTGAACCAGTTATTTTACGGAGAGCTAAAGTTATCACGAAAAATTCTGCTTCAAATATTGGCCCATAATCGGGAAGGCGAAGCGAAAAGGATCAGTCTAGGGCAGGAGAAAAAATACCAATTCCACATTTTTCTTCCCTTTTTGACGCATCAGTTGCTATGACTGCTTGCATTGGCGTATGTTCCAGGTAATCTCTTAATATATCTTCTAAAAAATTGAGTGGCATCAATTTCGAATTTTTCGGAAATATATCATCAAACTGTAATTTAATAGCACTGTTATTGGTACTGATTAAAGGAACAGCATCAATTTGAGCATCTAAATTGATGATAAATTTGAACATCTAAATTGATGGTTCACCAGACACCGAGCGCAGACCACTCTTTGTCTTCTTCGTCCGACCCACACGCGCATCGTCCCACAAAATGTCAACATGCATGTAGCATAATCCCCGGCGGCAGAAGCGCCGTCTCAACGCATCTAGATCGTCAATGTCAGCGGGAGAGTGGTAAGGCTTCAAGCGTGCCACATGATATCAGTAGTCTGTGAGGCAGTTGGAGGGGATGAGGCGGCAGGGGTGACTTCGTATGTCACAGGAGTAACCTCACGAAGGACTCGATATGGACCTGTGTAGCGGGAAAGAAGTTTTTCCGACAAGCCGACTTGACGGGTCGGGGACCAGAACAGCACCAATGAACCGGGTAAAAAATGCACGTCGCGGTGTCGTTGATCGTACAAACACCGCTGGTTCTCTTGAGAGGCCAGAAAGCGAGTGCGGGCGATTTCGCGTGCGTGGGCAGCCCGAGTGATACCGTCAAGGGCATATTTGCTGGTCGGTGTCACGGTTGACGGAATGACAGTATCCAGGGGTAATGTAGGTTCTCGGCCGAACACCAGAAAAAACGGGGAGAAAGCGGCAGTGTCATGGCGAGAGAAATTATATGCAAATGTCACGTATTGCAAAGCAAGGTGCTAGTCAGAGTGGTTGGAAGAAACATACTTCGCAAGTATGTCTAAGTGTTCGATTCAGACGCTCCGCGAGTCCATTTTTCTGTGGGTGATATGACATCGTAAGCTTGTGCCTCGTTTAACATGACTGAAGGGTATCGGCTATCACCTTTGATAGAGAGGTGCGGCCACGGTCTGTAGGCAGCTGGCGTGAAGCTCCATGTTGCAAGTTCACGTCCTTGAGGAGGAAGTCCGTGACATCAGTGGCGCCACTCTTTGGAAATGCTCGTGTGATGACGTAGTGCGTGGCGTAGTCTGCGGCCACAGCTATTTGCCTGTTGACAGAAGAAGACAAGGAAAAGGGCCTGAGGAGGTCTAAGCCAACTCGGAAGAAAGGTTCTGACGAAATATCAAGTGGTTGAAGGTGCCCGGCGAAAAGCGTCAATGGTGTTTTGCGGCGCTGAAATTTAGCCAAGCCGCAACGTATCTTTTGACTGAGCGTCTGGCCAAAAGAAGCGTTGGCGAATCTGGTCGTAAGTGCGTGACACATCAAAGTGACCGGCAGTTGGGAGGTCATAGAGTTCGTGGAGAACTGCCGAGCAGAGGTGTTTTGGAATAAGGAGCAGCTGGGCTGGTTCATCTGGGTAGAAGTTCTGGTGGTATAGGACACCATCGTGGAGGACTGATGAGCGATAGGACCTGTCGGAAAATGGTGATTCGAGATGTTCGAACATAGCACTCAAGGATGCTTCATGGCGTTGCTCGTCCCCAATGTAGGTCAGTTGCGAAATGGAGAAGACGCAATTATCTGTGTCGGTGTCAGGGATGGTGCTCAGTTCATCGACCGGATAGCATAAGAGGCAGTCTGCGTCCTGGTGTAGGCGTCTGGACTTGTACGTGACTGTATAGGTATATTCTTGCAGTCGCAGAGCGCAGAACCCAAGCCGGCCAGTAGGATCCTTCAGTGACGAAAGCCAACATAGCGCATGGTGGTCGGTTATTACAGAAAAATTCGTGCCATATAAGTAAGGGCGGAACTTCGTGACTGCCCTAACAAGAGCAAGACATTCACGCTCTGTTATTGAATAGTTGCGCTCAGCAGCTGTGAAAAGGTGGCTAGCGTAGGCGATAACTCGGTCGTGTCCTCGCTGGATTTGCGCTAGAACGGCTCCAATTTCATGACCACTCGCATTGGTTCTGACTTCTGTCGGAGCGGACGGGTCAAAGTGGGCCAATACAGGTGCGGTCGTGAGGAGGGTTATGAGTTGAGAAAAAGTGGCAGCTTGAGTGGAAACCACACGTAAAAGTCACGCCTTTCTTCAGAACGTCCGTGAGTGGTCGAGCGATCGTTGGAAAATCTTTGACAAATCTTCTAAAATAGGAACAAAGTCCCACAAAGCTGTGCACGTCCTTGACAGACTGGGGTACAGGAAAGCTCGTGACGGCACGAATTTTCTCTGGGTCAGGCTGCACACCTGATGCGTCGACAAGGTGGCCCAACACCGTAATCTGCTGGCGGCTAAAACGACTTTTCGACGAGTTTAGTTGAAGTCCAGCAGTGCGGAAGATGTCGAGAACCACCGACAAACGCTGAGGTGTGTCTCGAATGTAGGCGAATGTACAAGGACATTATTCTGGTAGCACAGGCATGTTGACCACTTGAACCCTTGTAATAGCGAGTCCATCATACGCTCAAACGTGGCTGGGGTGTTGTATAGCCCTAATGGCTTCACCTTGAATTTGTATAGGCCGTCGGGAGTTACAAACGCAGTCTTTTCTTGGTCTTTCTCGTCCACCGCGATCTACTAATAGCCAGAACATAGGTCAATGGAACAAAAGTACCGCGCACCGTGGAGACAATCGAAGGCGTCATCATTTCGGGGCAAAGAATAAACGTCCTTTTTCGTGCTTCGATTAAGATGGCGGTAATCAAAGAGGAAGCGCCACGTGTCATCTTTATTTTTAACGAGCACAACAGGAGATGCCCAAACGCTCGAGGAGGGTTCAATAATTCCTTTGGCGAGCATCTTATTGACTTCTTCCTGAATTACCTTACGCTCTGTGGCAGACACCTGGTATAATCGGGAGTGAATGGGAGGAGAATCAGCAGTATTAATGCGGTGCTTCACGAGGGAAGTCGGACCGAGCGGACTGCTGTCGATGTCAACTATTTCGAGGTAGGAAGCCAGCGGGCGGAATAGGGAGCCGGATTGCTCAGGTTTGAGTTCCGGGTCAATCATGGGGCACAAAGCCGCATCGACGGATGTGGAATCCTGCGGGCGACATGGAAGATCGGAGCATGCGTATACCGCAAAAGTGGTGAGGTGGGCTCTATTAAGGGTCGAAGCATAGCGACTGAAATTCCGCGTAGTAGTACTTGCAGCGTGAAACCGAAATTGATAGTGGGCAGTCATGTTTGGTTAGAGGCCATAGTTACGACGGAGTGTGGCACAGTGATGTCGCGCACCATGAGAACATTAAGAATAAGCGTGACGACATAATCACCGTCAACAACGGGTGAACATGTTGCCAATTCAACTAATTTGAGGGCTTTGGCGGTATCCAACTGAAGTCTGGCACAGAGGCTTTTTGGCAGCTCAGGGCGAGAATCTGGAAGAAGAGAAGTTCTAAACAGAGAGTGTCGGCGGTACAGTCAATCAGGGCAGAATGCGTCAATAAGAAGTCCATCCCGAAGAAGAGGTCATGATGAGGCAATTGACGAGCACGGTAAATAAAACAGGAACATGGCGGCCCGCTAGGCTAATACGAGCGGTACACATTCCAATGACGGCCACAGTTCCAACATCGGCGACACAGACAGCTTGTGTTGCCGCAGGCGTGAGTACTTTTTTGAGGTGGCGACCGAGACGAGCACTTATTATAGACACCTTAGCTCCAGTGTAAACTAAAGCCGTCAAAGAAAGACCGTCCACATGCACTTCCAGCAAGTTCTTATTAGTAGAGAGCGGCAACGGAGGATTTCGGTCAGTAACACTTGATGCAGCACTACCTCCAGAAGCATTAGCGCCAGCGCACAGCAGAAAACTCTGGGACGCTGTTTTCGCTTGCTCGCGAAAAAATAAACCACACTTTTATTTCTTTTTCCTTTTAATAAATCAGAGGCACCCTTAAGTAATCACCATGACACATTGCATTCGCAAGAATATCTCTCGTTCTATTTTGTGCACACTCCTTCTTGTCAGCCATACCTTTGGCAGAGTTGACGGCACACGGTAGCGTTTGGTCACTGCTCATTTACAGCTGCAAAATACAAAATAGTATTCATTAGTTCTGGCCTCAATATATCTGTATAACATTGCTATCAAACTACGCATGTTTTCCAGGCCTAAATACTTGGTCACAATCATTATCATCTACAATAAAACGAAGCACTCTACGTAATTTCGTTCTTGAAACAGCGCATGTACATTGAAGCTATCCGACAAGTGTCAAAGCCAACTTCTCAGCTCTGTGCAGTACAGAATTTACATATACCTTTAAAAAATCTCAGGTACTTCGTGAGTATCATGTATCTGTAATCCGATAAATCTCGCAGGGTGACTTTTTATTTCTGTTCTGCAATACATTCAATATTGTTGCTTGATGCACAAGATACTTAAACAGGAGCAATACCGTGTGGAACAACAACACTTTTCTGAACACCGCTTCTCAAGCTAATAGCGCTTTCACTAAGAGGCCTGAACTAAGCTAAACACAGTGACCTGTGGAGCGTTCTACTTTACCATAGCCTCTGATGTACGGCTATGCGGCTTGAGTGGTAGAACGTAGAGTAACATAAAAATTACAAGAGTGGTCACTCAGGGCCAAAAAGTGGCGGAACTACTCAACTCCCCCCCCCCCCCCCCCCAGCCGTAAGATGGCAAGACATATATCACTGCTTCAAGGAAGCAAGCGTACTAGTTATTCACTACAGTACCTTTTTAGTGCATTATACGTCTACGTGTTTTTGCGTATGTGATAGTGGCCTGAATCCGTCTTTATCATCGGCGATTCTACGGAGGGGCGGGGATCAGGCATGAATGGGATGCGAGAGAAGGGCACATGACGCGACGGCAACGCTGTGCATGCTCCACGTTCATGAACACTTGCGGCTATGAAGAAGCACTGGGCAGCAGCAGGGAGACGTCATACAAAAATGTGCGATAACGTGCCCGGCGCGCGTCGTGGTCTTCGCTTGTTTCGTCTGCCTCCCAGCTTGCCTGCTTCTAGGTACGGACGCCATCAATACTTTGTTAACTGCGAATTCCATTTTTCATTGAAGACCAAACCTAGCGTTTCTGGCATTGTGTTTTTCGGCGCAGAAATCTTTTTTGTGCTTTTAATTTCGCGTACTCTTTTCGTGGATTGCTTCACACGAAAGAAAACTACTTAAAATGCTTCACAGGAAGTTTGCGAAAAAAACTCTTTCTTTGCTCAAGAAATTGAGTCACCTCTCGCGTTGTTAGGTTTTTTTTTTGCTGCTACATGAATTCGAATTCACTGCAAGAGTGAAATTTTGTGAAAAGTGCAACTATGCTAAGTGTCGTTGTCTGTGCTCTGCACGAATTGCTTGAAGCTCTAACGAGCGCAATACGAGAAAAATGCTAAATATAGAAAAATGTATGTTAGCTAACGCTAGGACGTAACCTTTGAGTAAAAACTCCTGCCTCGTTAGCAGCTTGTATGACTCCTAAAATTGCTTTGTTTTTGCTGTGGTAACTTCTCGTGACTGCTTTTCGCGAAAAAGCAATGTGAAGTGTGTAGGAAAAAAACCAGTGCGAAGGTGGGAAAGAAAACTTAGCCAACATTTATCTTTTCTTTTTTCGGTTCATGCCGGAGTCAAGCGCTGAGGCAACTACTGCTGTGTCGCATTCTGTACTGATTTGATTGATTGATATGTGGGTTTTAACGTCCCAAAACCAACGTATTATTATGAGAGACTCGTAATGGAGGGCTCCAGAGATTTCGACCACCTGGGGTTCTATGACGTGCACCCAAATCTGAGCACATCGGCCTACAGGATTGCCGCCTCCATAGGAAATACGGCCGCCAGGACTCGATCCCGCGACCTGTGGGTGAGCAGCCGAGTACCTCAGCCACTAGACCACAGCGGCAGGGCTGCATTGTGCACTGTATGTGTAATTATGTACGTTTCTTGCAGTTTTACTCTGCTGAAGTTCTTAAATTGCTGTCTAGATATTTATGTCTTGTGTGTAATTTAAAATCATGATATGGCGGTTGCATTTTCACGTCTCACAGTGCAATGAACCTCTCTTTGTGCCTGCGCTTATCAGACTATAACAAAGGCATGTGCTTACCAAGAATATCACCTGAAAATAAATGTTTTCGCTTCATCAATGATTCTCATGTTTTAAATAAATTGTGCGCATGGACACCCATTGGCATCGTGTACTTGCTGCTCTAGCGGCGCAGCTTGCACGAAGCTCTACGATGCATGCAAACGACACATTATAGAAAAAGTACGGCTTCAGAGACGAGCATTCACGTAGAAGTGGCCTCAAAGGCTGTATATTATTCCTACTCACTGCAAAATGGTCTTCGAGACAGTCTTTTCTGTGGTCTGCCATCTCTGAGGTTGCAATGGTTCCCCACACCTATTTGGTGCTCGCAAAGCCAAATAAGCCACAGGGGTCTATGAAGGTGTCCTCTCTTAACATTTTATATTACTCTATGGGTAGACAGCTTATGCTTACCCAGGAACTATGGGTTGAGACGTTTGCGTATTAATGCAATGGTGTTTAAAAAAACTCACATCAGCAACTCGGCGTTCAGCAGAATGCGTGTCATTTATTTGTTTAACAGAGCAATGATTGGCAATCTCTGTCCTAAGCGTAAACACACTTTCGCTGGTAATGCAAATACTACGCATTTTAAATATTCAAAACTCATCATCCCTTGTCAAAACAATACGTTCCGAAGAGCAGGGAAGTCAGAAGTTTTATAAAGTTTGCGAAGAAGAAAGCTTTTTTGACCAAAATCCACCGAAATAAACATGAGCCTCTACGGTGACGCGATATGCTTAAAATTCGTGAAATCTGCCTGACTTCACGTAAATAACAGACTGCTATTCACTGAAACATTTATGCAAATTCTGCTCAGGTGGGCTGGTGATTGAGGTGGGCGGAGCGTAGATTTATTCTTGGGCTGTAAACGAAAACAGAAATCTTTCTAGAAGAAGTGCTGTGTTCACAGATGAGAAATCTCATTGTGTTCCACCCATATCGAAAAAGGCGAAACGTCGTCATCAATCGAAAAACAAAAGGAAACATTCTCAGACAAAAACCTTTCTCACTTCAGCATTGCATTATAAATGGCCTAAGTCGCTGCTTAGGAGAAGATCGCGTCAATGCACTGTGATCTCCGTCCTAAAATTTTCGTAATTGTAACTAGTTTTTTTAAAAAGCTGTTTTTCTTTATAATTTCGGGAATCAGGGTCCCCGCTGATGCGTTAAGCACTGAAATCTTGTTCCTCTCACCTGCCAGCTCGCTGATTGTGTGAAAGTGAGCCTGGCAGGCCTACAGGATATTAGGATGGCAGGCCTACAGGATGGTTTCATCGGGGTATTTCCAGTGAAGCCCACGTGGCCATGTTACATCAACGGAAAGCAAACAGCCAGACCCGAACTGATTTGAGGTGCTACGAATGTCAGCAGATTGGGGCTCGTGGTAGGGCTAGGCGAAGCGCGTACGTTAAAAGTGGTTGGTTCGTCACCTTTTCGACGTGCACATAAAGTTTCGTAAAATTATTTAGAGGAGAATCTGGCACTACGATCGTTCAGCGACCATGGTGGTAATTATGCTCGCTATAGGGAAAACGGTGACGGGCGAGAGCGGAGGGCTGCACGATTTCACAATGAACGATGGCGGGCATACCAGATGGCGCTACCTGCGCAAAAGATTCTTGGGGTGAAAATGGCCTACTTTGCACATAGCCGCTGGACATTACTTTCTCTCATTTTAGACAACCGCTTCCACACCACGCCCGACTTTTTATTGCGCTACATGTTTATTCCGCTAAAAAGAATGTCTTGCAAGTTATGCGTGGCGCCAAGCGATTGAAAAAATAAAAAGGAAGAGCGCGAAACGCTTCATATCCTGACAGAACTGGCATGCCGCACAGACCTGTTCAGTGCCTTAGCTATGTCGTTAAAATAGCGTTGTGTTATTTTGGCGCTGCTTTTACTCTGTTTTATATGCTTCAGCTGAGTGAAACCACTAGCTCGCATGCATAGATAAACTGACTTTAGAGTGCTGTCTCTCTTGGAAAGAGGTAAATTCTTTGCAGTCATTCATAGTGAGTATATTTGGCCGAGGTGTTTTGCTGATTCTTGTCTCCCTCCCCCTTCTGCATACACCTTCATTTTTCATACTTATAAGGGGTTGGGTGCCCCTCAGCATGCAATATTCAAATCATTTGCATTTTCTCGCACCTTTTTTTATGAGAAACTTGGACAGGAGATGAGGACGTTGTATCTGGAGGCTATTTTTTACAGCGGACATAATTTCCTATTTTAGCGATCGTTCTCTCTATGATAAAAAAATTACATTTGTTAACTTATTATCAAGATGCAAAATAAACACACGCAAGGAAAATTTGGTACTACATGTTCATTTATGACACATTTGTGATCACATACTTCTGAAGGACATTTGTTATCTCATACTTTCCTATATAATGCTTTAAAAAGTCAAATTACTTGAACCTTTTCAACTTCAAGGGTTTCTGGCACTCCCTTTGGACACTCGTGTCTTATATTGCTCAGAAGTGCATATGCGTGTGCAGAAAAAAAACTGGACTACTTTTGCGGTCAGTTCTTGGCTGTGAATCTTGCTGTCAACTCCATCCAGCTTCATTTATGTGAAGAACTTCATGAATTCACGCAAGCTGAAGTAGTGCAATTTTTTAGCAAAAAAAAGTAAATGCATCCTTCGCAGTTTTCATCACTGTGGCCAGATTTTCACAAAGATACAGTAAGCCTCCCCTGTCAAATGCATTCACTAACTCACTGTTCAGTGCCCCATCGCGGTGATCTAGTGGCTAAAGTACTCTGCTGCTGACCCGTAGGTCGCGGGATTGAATCCTGGCTGCGGCGCCTGGATTTCCTATAGAGGCGGAAATGTTGTAGGCCCGTGTGCTCAAATTTGGGTGCACGTTAAAGAACACCAGGTGGTCAAAATTTCCGGAGCACTACACTACGGCGTCTCTCATAACCATATAGTGGTTTTGGGACGTTAAACCA